TCTATAATTACATAATTACGTTATATTGTTTAAAAGAATTTATATTATTTTTAAAATTGACTATTATTTAAATAAAATTCTAACTATTGTTTATTATTTATTATATATTATTTTATTATAATTATACCAGGTAAATTTTGCGCAAATGGGCGGGCGGAAAATATATACCTTTTTTATTTTGGCGTAAATGGGTGATGCCCCAATGTGTATTATCGAATAAACGATACGTATTGTATTGTAACTGTGAAACAGTCATACACCAATAGTCGTACGTGCACTTTTAATTTTATCACCTGTTCATCGTATTAAATATTAAAATGCCAAAATATTTGTGTCTATGAAAAATATCAACTGATCGATATGAGTATAAAAGGGTAATTGAATAATCCGGAATTTTTCCGTTTTATTCAATAAAGCGGAAAACTGCTTAGAGCGGAATTTTTTGTTGGTCCCATGCGATTCCGTTTTAGACAGTTTTCACTGTATATATATTCTTAATACAAACCTAAAGAGTTCAAGAACTAAAACAATGGGAAAATTTTGTTTTCTACCTACTACAAAAATGTCTTAGAAAGGGACAAGGCCCGTTTCACACACGACGGTTTCGTCTGTACGGTTAAAATCCGTACGAATTTTTCCGAACGGACATTGTTTTCACACACGGCGGTTTTTTATCTAAGTCGTTTACGTTTGGTTATATTTTACTTTTAAATTTTTAACTCGGTTGGCTTTCAACATGAATCGAAAATGCACAATCGCCATATGGCTTTTGTATCGTTTGCGGTTACGTAAAAAACAATGTAACAATCGTATTTACTGGGTACACCCAATTAATGAATAGGTATACACTTTACCCCAAGCACTTTTGGTTCCATTTCTATCTTTGTAAAGCTCTTGAGACTAATCCCATAAGATAGGTTTGCGTTCCACAGTAATGATTAGCGTTTCTTTGTCAATATCCATGTTATTTTATTACAAAAAGCGACAGCGGAGCAGCTTTGACAACGAACAACAGACGAATAAAAATCTTTTATGAAAACGTGGGCTAGTTCACGTAGGCCACTGATAAGGCGACGACGGTACGGCGCCGTACTTTTTAGTCGTTGAAACGGTTGTATCACGACCATAGGCGTGCGCAGATTCCTGTTTCCGGTGTGGCATTTATATTTTTTGATCATCCCCCCTTATAAAACCCCGCCTTAAAAAAAAATAGATGTACAAAACATAAGTAAGTAGAAATAAAATTTCTTAGAAAAACTGATGTACAATCTGATTATCAATGAACACCAGTCCAGAAAATTTTAATTTTTTGTAATTTGATAAAATTGATAAAAAAAATTTCGATTTTCCAAAAAAAAATAATTATTAGCCCTTTTTATCTAAGTACCTAGGTACCTAAAAATAAATCTCAAGTATAGCTATAGCCCTATAAGCCACACCCGTACGCACGCGTAATAAATACATTGGTACCTAATATAATAGTATTTATAATCAATGGTATTGCATTTGGTCATTGGCAACTAGTTAGTAGTTAGGTATGTTATTTGATTATGAATATTTAATATTATGATAAATCTGTTTTTTTTACATTTATCAATTTACTTCAATTAAAATGTCTATACTAATACATCGTGTATGACCTATAACGGTTTGGGGGGCCGATGTGCAATGCACACCTTGCACACCCGGTAGTTGCGGCACTGACCCCCCACCATCTCGAAATGTAGGAAAATTATTTTATAATAATAATGTTTTTGTAATAAAAGGGTTTATAGATTATATAACTATGAAAATGTACAACCTAAATCCCAATCCCTAAAATATTTATGTATGTACGCACCTGTAATCTACATTCTATGCTCCATTGCTATAAAATAAATTACAATGGTAAAGTTTTCATTTTTAATAACGTATTTAGTATACCTATTTCCGAAACGAAATCAAACGAATTCAATATTTTCCGCCAATTCCAAATTTTTTTTTCACGTATCCCTGAGGGTAGGTTATCTCAGATTGGGAACCGCTAATCTATAGTGCATCGAGTGTCGAATCAAGCGCTGTCTAACCTATGCGTGCCAAATGACGTGCGGACGTGCAGAGAAATCCTGCGAGATGGTAGAGAAAACGTCTGGTAATAGAATCGCGTATTATATTATTGCACGTGGTTCCTCGCTGAAATGATAATAATAACGACAATACTTAGTACTCTTTTTCTCTCGCTTTTCCAATGACATTTTCTCTTTTGCCGTTTCGCTAATCAAAACGAACGCCCGCGACTGAACGATACCCTTCAATGACCTATAAAACACAAGCATTAAAACCTTACGTATAGGTACAAAACCGTGTTAGACGATAATGGGAAAACACAATTTTACTTCACGTGTATTGTTACGTATCGCGGCAACCGCATGCACCATGGTCAACTATTATTGTTACGTGAACGCGCGCCGTTAGACTGCCCCGGATTGCTCGGAGAATCAATTTTCGACGAGAACACACGCGTGCTGTCACTACGTCCACCCGTCGTGGCTACGACTATCTGCCAACGAGTCGGGAGTACTCATTATCATCGTTTCATCACCAGGTACGCAATGTGCATTGTACACTCACCATACAATGAAATACATCGTGCTTGAACGAATGTTAGATTATTAATACCATTGATGTCGGAGAATGGCGTTAACTGATTTAGATCTACGTCGCGGTTAGTTCTACGATTTGTTTTCGCTTCTAGCTAGTATGCAATTTTAAACGCTTTCTAAAGTTTCCACTGCGAAAATATACTCGTAAATGTCAAGTGAAAATCGAATCAATGAAAATCGATTTCCATTGAAGGCCCGAAGATTTAGTAAATAAACACATAGGCGCAAATAGGGTGGGGCTTAGCCTTCCTAATGTGAATTCAGCCCCCTCCAGAATTATTATAGTTTTATATCGTATACATTTATTATTTTATATGATTATCATTTTTTTTATTTTTATTAATTTTTTCTATTTAAATTTAAACCTATGAGATTACTGAGCCTTACTGAGACATACTCGTGTGAAAGCCCAGGGTTATCTACTATAAACACATTTACAATTTATTAAACTTTTATCTTACAACATTTCAACTCTTAGTGATTATAACTAATAATAATTTAATGATTATTTTTGAACATTTAAAGGTATAGGGGGGAGGGCAAAGCCTCAACTTATATTTTTTGGTTAAAAATGGTAAAACTGAAGCCCCCTCCACGATATAATTCTTGCAAACAATATAAATAATTAATAAATATTTTTATAATTGTTATTGACTATCAAAAATGTAATAACTTTTAATTTACAATAACATTATGTTTAAAAAATTAGAATAATTAACAAATTTAATTGGTAAATTTTCATCACATATTAATCTCTTTAATTATTCCATTGGATTTAAAAGAAACATGATGCTTGGTTTGAAATAACATTGATATGTGATTCTGCCTTCTCTTCCTGGGTTGAACTAGTAAATTTAAACAGTTCAAAAGTTAAAAATATTTATAAACAAGCATATCTTTAGCAAATGAAGGACATCTTTCAGAATATACTAACATTTATCTCCAATATTAATAGTTATATTTTGTTCCTTCATTTAAGGAGTTTTCAGTCATTGGTTTCATTTAATACAAATCATACTTGTAAAAAATTATTTAGAACAAATTTGCATTATTTTAATTAGTTAACTTCCAAGTACATTGAACATGTGTAGTCTGTGATTTAAAAATGATATTTTAATATTTTATTGGTGTAATATTTTTACGTTATTTACAGCATATTATTTTTTTTCTCTTAAAGATCATTGATTTCCTAGCTTCAAGTTTGAAGTTTGTTCTTGATTAAATTTAATGATCTATTCTTAAATAGTTTTTATGTTGATAGAACTCTAATGCTTATAAGATAATACATTTAAACCCTTATTAATTTACTACAATATTTAGACTTTAAACAGAGTATAATTAACGTTGTAAGATATTATTTAAAATTCATTACATTTTTGTTTTTTAGTATATTTTTTTAACTTTGTACTTGAAAACTACTGTCCTATATTAAAAGAATATTAACCATTTAGTGCGTTTATTTTTTATTTTAAGCTATAGCAATAATGTTGTTTAAAAGGTCATATTAGGTATAAGGTTATATATTTCAAAATATTAGACGTCAAATATACTACTAAAAAATAAGAATGTTAACATTGGTTTTTAAGATATCTGTTGCCATATGGCAACACTAGAAGGTTATAACTTAATTCATAAAAACTCAATAAATTAATTTTATATTTTTTATGTTACCACTTAACAACATAAGGCATTAATGAGTTAAAATACTTCAGAGAAAAATAAATTAATAGTTAAGGGTAAATGAAAGTAAAATTATTCTATATATAGAACAAATATTGAGGTAAACAAATAGTGATAAATACAATATTTTTCATTATTATCTGTAATATTTTTCTACTTTAACCACCATTTTGAACTATAAAATATTTAATTCATAAATAAAATTTAACATCAAGTTATAAAGTAATTGAAATTGAAATATATGAATTATAACGTAAACCACAAAAAAATGAATACAAAACATTTTTAATATATATATATATATTTTTTAAAATTTCCCATTGAAACGACTGTTAGACGTTTTTTTCAATAACTTAGGAGAGTAAAGTGGAATATCACTTGTGCCCTCTTCTCTAAGTAGAGTATTTGGTCCAATTGAGAGCAGTGTATAGCAACCAGAATGATGGCAGGGGAGAAACTACGGAATTCTGTAGAATATTTTTTTGCACTAATAATATAATAATACTTTAATATAAAAATTAATGAATTGGAAATAATGAGGTAGATTTCTATTTGTTATTAAATAATTGTTCTCATAAAAAATATACATCGCTTTAGGATTTACATCTATAATTTTTCATTTTTTAATAATATAAGATATTTAAAAATAATGACAATGAAATATTTATAATTACAATATTATAATAAAAAGTTATTTTTATCTTCTAAAACCTCCTCCTCCTCCTCCTCGGCCACCACCACCTCTACCACCACCTCCAAATCCTCGTCCACCACCACCAAATCCTCGGCCACCCCCTCCTCCACGACCACCTCCACCACGTCCAAATCCACCTCCACGTCCTCCACCACCACCACGTCCAAATCCACCACCACCGCGACCACCACGACCACCACCTCCTCTTCCACGTCCTCTGCCACCACCTCCTCGACCACCCTGACCACCAGGTTGAGGTAAGAATTTTTTCAATGGTAATAATTTAGCAGGGTCAATGTATAACTGAAACAAAACAAATATGAATTTAAAAAAAAATGTAAACAACATTTACTAGTAAATTAATTATTATAAATAAGATGTACCTTGTCAGCTTTTTTGAAAGATTTAGCTTTGACTTCTGAGTTCAATTTTATTGATACAAAATAATCACTATAAGTACCAAATATTTCATCTATTTTACCAATTTGTTGTTTATTAGCAAAATATATAGGTGCATTGAAGTATGGAACATCTTCCATTTCAGCCTTACAAACGATGTCATCTTGACAAGAATGAGTGAATTGACCAAAAGGTATTACCTAAATAACAAAAACAATAATAAAGTGGTTTGTAATTCATTAATAAACAATTTATAGACAACATTAATGGTGCTTTAAAAAAAAATTGGGTTTTTTTTATGCCCAAGAGTATTAACAGCTAAGTATTGGCTAATAAATCTGTAAAATACAGATACAATTTTTTTAGGTAACTTTTACAGATTGGTTAATATGGTGATAAAAAAATATTACTATTTTTCTTCTATACTTTTATTATTATTATAAATTAATGTATTAAACATGTGAATTCTAATTAATTAATTCATAAAGAAGTAAGTCATCAATCAATAAAATGTGGTATCATTTATTTGGCAACTATGATGATAAATTAATATTAATTTAAAACTTTATAACATGAAAAATTACAGACTGGTCTTTACCTAACCTGTTCAAAGGTTTAATTTTGCTTTATTTAATCATCAGTTAGCATAGAAGGCTAATATCCAAACACACATCCCACTTAATGAGTTATTATTTATGTTTAGTAAAAAACAATTTTGTTAATTCAATAAGAAAATATATACCCTAACTAAATATTATAGAATTACCATTTGGTAATACAAATACAATTGATTTTAAAATCTACATATTGTGTAATTTCCCTTTTCATATTAATTTCAACATTCTGAACCATAATTGCCTAATCTTTAAATCATAATTATGAAAATTTTGTAATATTATACAAAATAAAAATTACATCATTTCTTACTAAATTCATTAAATAATACTAACCTAAAACAGGTTTATTGATAAATTTGACTGTCAGTTGAAATTAATATTAATTAAGCCAATGATAATTAAGGACTAAAATGTCATAACCTTAAAAGTTGAAATTATTCACAAAAATTCCAATAAAACAAATGTATCATTAGAAATATGATAAACAACAATTGTGCTAATAAGCTATGGTCATAGATTTCAAAAAATTCCAAAAACTAGATTATTTTATAGAATGACAAAAATTACAACTGATAAACTAAAAATAATTTCAATAATAATTCAACAAGTTAATATTATATAAAGCAGCAATTCCCAAACTTTTTCAGACATGATATGTATTTATATAAGAGGAAACTCAAAAGAGATATTGTACATTTAATATTATATTTATATACAATATATCTAGTCGAATAATAACTAGAATGGATTGCATATTATCTAAAATTAAATAATTATATTATTCTATCGATATTTTAATATTGTTCATACACTTATGAATGAATTATATTTGAATGACAGTCTTGTAAAAATATAAATATACGTATTTTAAAAAAAATGATCTGTAATTGTTACATTTTTATATTATCTATGATTAAACGAACAGAGCCTTTTAAAAACAATTGTGGAATCCTAAGGGCTTCGCAGAGCATATTTAGGGAACCACTGATATAGAGTAATATTACGAAACAATATTATGAACAAAAAGACAATAATAAATACGAGATTTATTAAAATTTAAGTATACTTCTTCTGGTGGTCCTTGTTCAGCAAATCTATTGAATCCACCTCTTCCACCTCCTCCACGGCCACCTCCACCGCCACGAAAGTTACCACCACCACCTCGACCGCCCCCTCCATCATCTATAAATACAAAAATTTTTATCGTAAATATTATTAAATCACTAATATTAGGGATGGAACTAGGGGGGGGAAGACGAGATTCATTACCGGGCATAAAATTTTAGAGGGAGTAATTTTTGTAATTAATAAAAACTAATTAAATATTTTTAACTTTGTTAAATACTCATATTAGGTTAAAACTTAATAAGTATGATTGTATATTAATTATTAGAAAAAAATTCTCGAGGAGGAGAACTTGACTATTAGTCTATGATAGGGCGTAATTTTAACATTTACTCCAGTCGTAAAAATTCCTAGTTTCACCTCTGACTAATAATCGGACAATCCTATGTTTTAATATATCGAAATAAATTCACAAATTAAAAATAATGAACATGTCCCTAAAAATATAGCTATATTAGAGTATATAAACGGTAAGACTTAAAAAGCGAATTCAACATTAAGCAATATCTACGGTTTCCCTCTGCAAGTAAAATTGAGTAAAATTCAATTGGTAAATAATAATAGGTAATGCAATGTGATTTACTTCTGCCTCGAAATCCACCGCCGCCGCCACCTCCACGGCCGAAGCTGTTTCTGTTGTTGTTGTAAGACATCGGATTTAATACGTGTGACTATCCGTGCTGCAAAATCGAGAGAATGTTATTTGATGGTTGACGTGAAGAAAAACTAAAACAGTAAGTGATAGATTAGCGAGTAGCGAGTAGTGTTTTCGAAAAAAAATAAATAAAAGTCACGTGTTCGGCGTGCGACTACAAACAAATCTGTTATCAGTCGAGAGTCTCTTATCTGTGGTCGAGAGCACGGTCGTTATCGTATACCAAGTGTTAATCCGAAAACGCGATACGGAAACACTGACTACACAATTAGGTCATACTGTGTTCGTTCTGTGGTTGTAAAACGCTTCTCTACATTACCATTTTATCTATTCCGCGGGTGTTTCAATCACAATCGTTATCTTTATTGTATCGTACCATTTAACTTTTACCATTATAATTATTTACCTTTATTATTATTATTATTATTATTATGATTATTAATGGTGCGCGGACAAGGGGGAATGGTAACCACAATACTCATCAAAACGCTCCATCGTGTTTCTCTAGTAATTTCTGATCGGAACGCAAATGGCGGGACCGTGTGATAGATATAGTTACCAGTCGTCGCGGATGAATGCCGAATAGAGTGTTGATTACCACTGTCTCGATCTTCTTCCGCATTACTCATTATCAGTGATTTCAAATGGTAATTATTGTTCGTTAACCTACGGCGGACCAAAGATTCGAGATTATACCGTGCGTCCGATATAGCATGGTCGTGTTTGTTTACGCGCCCCGTAGCCATTGAATCTCGCGGTTATCACGGTTCCCGCGAAGACGCAGCGCAGCTCTGACGGAAATTGATCTCATCACAAGCCAGACTCGTCGCTTCCACAGTTCTCTGTCGTTAACAAGTGTCATGATACAAGCATAACAGCCATGGACGACAAAACCGATCAAACGTTAACGTCCAAGACAGATCCGGTAGAAGATGAACTGGCTAGCCCGCTGCCTATTTGTGACGAAGTGCTTAATAAACCGGTTACAAATCGAGAACAGCAGCCGTTGATTGATGAATTCAACAGTACAAACTGTTCTAGTAAACAACAGGCTGGAAGAGCCATGGTAGTTCCCAGCTCTCAATATATTGCTGTTCAGTCAGCCATTCAATCTATTGCTGAAAGTAATAACCGCTAATCATTTATTATAATATGCATGCATTACTATTAGTCTTGAGAAAGGTTATTGTTTCTTATTATTTTAAATATTGATATCAATACAACCTATTTGCTTAAGTGTACTCTATAATTTTAAACTGTTTTCTGATAATAAATGTATGTATGCTCATATTTTTCTTGTTTTTGTAGAACCATGGGATTCTCATGCACTTATTTCTCCTGAAATGAACAGTGAAATTGTAGTACACGGCCTTCACAGTGAGTGTAGTAATTCAACGTCTGCTGAAACAATTATTAATTCAGATATTGAATTCAAACCGGTATTAATATTTCTTATTTAACTATTTTTTACATTATTATTTTTGCTACTAAGATATATTTTTTTTCAAAATATTAGCTGACAGAAGAAAAAATAGAGAAACCAGATGAAAATTCAATTCCTGAATTTGATTATATATTTTGTATTGCTGCTATTACTAGGACATCATCAAATAATTTAAAAGTACTTGCGGTATGTTAAATCTTTTTTGTCTGTAACCTCAATGCATGTTTATTCTTTTTGATATATTTACTGAAGATTGGTATTGTTTGTATACATATTTTATATTGAGTGAACAGGTCTTGACACCTTTTTGTAGAATTTCCTATAATGTTAACGAATGAAATTTAAAAACAATAGTAAATATTTGAATGGTTGACTAGTTCTTTATAGAACCATTTGTATTTAATTTATCTTAGTTCAGTGACTGTTAGTAATTTTGAATCTGAGTAGAAAAATCAAAAATGTAGAATGAAAATAATGTTCTTATTGGATTTCCTGAACATTATGGGTATTAATCATTTTTCCTGTAGCTACGTGTTGGATGCTATGTGCCATAGTATATAACTTAAAATAGGATAACAATCATTTAAAAAACTAGTTTTCTAGAATAATTAAATTTTTATAAGTAAAATCATAATTTTTTTTCATATTTTTAAGAATCTTGAATTTTGAAATTTTAAATTATAGGCAATTTATCCTATTATCCATGAATATATAGTATCAATTTCAGTGAGATTGAAATATCTTATTACCAATTAATCAAATCAAGTTGTACTAAATAATCTAATAAATGGCATATATTCTCAACTTAATATGAACATGGATTTACCTATAAGACAGTTATTCTATAGAAGGGTTATTGACTGAATAACTGGTACCGAAATTTAAATAATATAAACACTTTAAAGACATTTCAAAAACAAGTATATTATTAATAAAACCCACAGATCTGCTGTTATGTTAAAATTTTAATTCTATGAAGAATGGAGGCACTGTTCTTGAAGCTATCGAAAATGTATTAGAATCTTTTTCAAAACTGTAAGAAATACATAATACATATAACCTACACACTATTAATGGAGAAAAAAATTGATAACTTTTTTCATAGATAAATAGCATATTAAACTAACATTAAATGATGGTAGATAAAATACTTGCAGTAGATAGCATATTGAAAGAGTACCATTTATTCAAATACTATAACTACATAATAAAACTAAACTAGCATAAACTGTTTCTAATTATTATTCTTAAATTAAATTTAAAGATTAAAATGTATTTTAATTTTTCTGTTGTAATAAGACATTGATGATTCAAAAATGTAGTATATGTTTGCTGTGTACATTTTGATTATTAAAATGTTATGTCATTTTTCTTGAACTAGTTAATAAGAATATTAATAGCTTTGTGTTATTTTGTTCAAACATTTATTAAATAATAATTTATTAATAACTTTTTCCTATTTAATAATTATGAATTACACTGAGTATTAGAACAGAGGTGGCTAATTTTTAAAGACTTGTGATTATCTTCTGAATTTTTGTAAGTATTAAAAAAAAAAAAGTTAGGTCACTGATCAGGAGTATATTTTATATACATGCATGTTATACCTTCTTTATTTCTTCTATATAAAATATTAATAAGTAATAATAACTTAAATTTTACAATTTTACATAACACATACATTGTATCAATTTACATAAACACAATAAAGACTATATTTAATATAGAATATCCATTAAATTATGTACACTATATCTATATAGCTACTCAATTTCAGTGTATATAATGTTTTTTATAGTTATTTATTATCAAGGCTCATAACTTATAGCTCTAAAAAAGGTTGTTATAAGCGCTTAAATATGCTCTAAAAAGTATTCATATAAGCGCTTAAATATGCACTAAAAATACTGAAATATGCAAAAAAAAAAACGTTTGTATATAAAAATTATTATTTTATTATTATTATTTATTATATTATTTTATTATTTTAGCTTCTATTATTAAAAAAAAAAAAATTAGGTACTGAATTCACGAAACGAACTAGCATGCATACAATACGAAAAATTGGAAACGACTGCAAAATGTTAATGAAAAATAATCTGTAAATAATCTGAGAATGATGGTATCGGAATATCTAGATAATGATATTGGAATACTCGAATACCTAGAAACTATAAAAATAAAATACTACAGTACAAGCTACAATTACATATATACAATTATAATGGTTTCTTTATCGATGGGATTACGAAGTTTCGGGCGTACACACTCACTACGTCACACGTCGACTAAACTCGTATATAGTTCATCTGATATTATATAAGTTATATGAGAAGAAAAATTAATTAACACGAATTAATTACTAATATGAACAATTAATATGACTATAATTACTTGTTATTTTTAAGAAAAAATGTTTTAGGCTATTAAAAAATATTTTAAAAAAATCAATGATAAAAATCATACAAAAATACAAAAATAAGCAAAAAAAGCGAAAAAAAGTAAAATAGTACTTATACTTCAAAATATGCAAAAATATGCAACATAAAATTTCGTATCTAGCTTCTTGGTTATCTGAAACAAATTTATAGCTCACATAGGTATCTCTAGGACCTTTCAAAAAAAATATGCAAATGCTAGAAGTTATGAGCCCTGTTTATTATTATATATTGCCTTTATCAATTTTTATTTATATAATTTTTTTATTAGTGGGTTGAACATAGATTACAAAAAAAGAAATAAATATTTGATTTGTTTTCTGAAAAAATGAAAGAGACTCATAATTGACTCATATAGCGATAGACCTGTTGGCTCCCCCTGTACAAAAACACATCTTAAGTTTAAAAATATCAGAATTAAAGAGTGCTATTCAAATATTCTAAGTAAATGTATAAATATAATTTTAGAACTATTTTTACTTAATCTATTTTAACCCTTAGTACTTTGGTTAAATGTAATATACATTGTATAATATTTAAAATATTTATATAAATAAACTGTAAAGAAAAAAAAACCTTTACTATATTTAATGTTTTAGTGTTCATATTAAATTAGTTTGTATTAATAGTTTTGTTGTGTATTATTTTTAGCTTACAAAAATTGATACAAATGTCAAGGTTGATATAAAATCAGATGGATCTTCTCTTAATGGTTATGCAGCTGATTATTCTAGTTCATCGACAAATTCCACGATGTAATGTATACTAATTATTACATTTTATATTGTTTATCTATGTATCATCAGGAAAAAATTTTATATCAACGCTTAAATCAGGGTTATTACTTTTTTAAACAATTTTTGATTTATTCTTATTTTGGGTACATACATAATTAAGGTTATAAGTTTTTAATATTATTTTAACCAAAGCCTATGAATTAAATTTTTTTTTTTATTTATTCAAACAATCTATATAATTTAGTATAATAAGCATAAGTGAGGTTAAGATTTACAAAGACTTGGGGACTTGTGTATAGAAGCTGTCCACTAACAACAACACTCCAACTTTTTGGTTATTTTTTATGATTAATCAAAGAGCAAGTTACTACACTATTTCCTTTTCAATCTTTTTGTAGGGTTTCCAGGCATAAGATGCCTTGTTTTAGAGTAAAGATAATATAGCTAGATTTTGTTTCGTTAATTTTTATTTTACAGTTTTTACACCAGGTTTCAATTTGAAAGAGATGAGATTGCAGTGAGTTAGCTGCCATGTTTGGGTTTTCATGAGTTGTGATGATTACCTTATCATCGATATATTCTGCAACAAAGGTGTTGGGGGAAGTAGGGGTTGATCTGCTATGAATATATTGAAAGATAGAGGAGCTATAATTGCTCCTTGGGGAACTCCCGCTTGTATTATGTAGGAAGAAGAAAGAGAAGAACGATAGCAGACAGTGAATTGACGATTATTAAGGTAGAATTTAAGGGATAAGTAAAATGAAGGAGGTAGCAGCTTCTTTATTTTATACAGGAGGCCGTTATGTCACTCACGGTTGAAGCCCTGCGCTTCAATTCAGAAATACTGCAGAACAATATTTTTTTTTTCCGATGAGGATGCTATTACATCTGTTATCCTGTTTATTTGTTGGATTGTTGAATGCCGTTTTCAGAAGCTAAATTGTGTGTTAAGGATAATGTTGGAAGTGTTTATGATAGGATTTATTCTATTGAGGATCAGTTTTTTGAGAACTTTCGAAAATAGTGGAAGTAGACTTATTGGTCTATAAGATGCGGGAGATTCGGGAGGTTTTCAGGATTTAGGAATTATTATGATGACGGACAATTCCCATTGGGTAGGAAAATAAGCGAGACGAAGGGTTCCGTTATAAATATAAGTGAGAAGTATTATAGTTTTTTTAGGTAGATTTTTGACAATTTCAATCGTTATGATGTCAAATCCTGGTGATTTTCTTTTCGGGAAGGTGGTGATGGTATGTAAGACTTCAGCTGGAGAGAACGCTATGTAGGGTAGATTCATTTGTAGTGGGGCTTGAAAGGAATTCTTCAATTTCATTAGAAAATTCAGGATTGTTTGTGTAGTCGTGAGGCTTGAAGACATCAGTTAAATTGATTTTAAAGGTTTCTGCTTTTTCTAGATCGTCTATTGCCCATTAAGTGTGCAGAGATGGTGTTCATACGTCTCTTGTCCGACGAGTTTGTGGTAGTTTACCATAGGGCCTTAGCGCGACGTTTTTCGTTGATTGGGGAACGTATGTGAGCTGTAATATTTAGTGAGAAAGGAGTTATGAGCTTGGTTATTGGAGTAGAATCTTTTGCTGGTGGAGTGTATTGATTCATTTAAGTTAGATTTAGCGTCGTTTATATCGTCTGAAGTTTTTAATTTTACTTTTAGGATGGTATTAGTAGTGAGTAAAATGTATTCCAATCTGTATTTTTGTTTGTGAGTGATGGGTTGGACCTTCTAATTAAAGGTGAAGAGTAAGGAGGACAGCAGAATTGACTAAGTACAAGGAGTTGAAGTTTTCGATGTGGTGGAAAAGATTATTTGGGACTTTGGATATGAAGATATCAAAAATATCTGAGCGCTTTCTTGGCGATGTAGGCCATTAGGTTGAATCAGGAGGGGAGTGGTCTGCGTATTGCTCAGATTAAATAATGCGTAATAGGTTATTGCCACGTGGATTGCTAGTTCGGCATTCCTAATGGTGGTGTTTCGCGTTGATATCTCCGTCGATGATGAATTGGTAACCTAAGTATTTGAAGAATAGGTTTAATTGATCTAATATGACGTTATATTTAGGAGGGCAGTACGCAGGCCCTATCATGAGGGAAGCGTGGTGTATAGTCAGTGATATTGCGCATGATTGTAGATAATCATTGTTATTGTTGCGTAAAGACTAAAATTTGATTTAAGTACGAATAAGTATTGTGGAACCCGCATGGGCAGTACCATCAGGATGGTTGTAATCAGCTGATAGCTGGGGATATTTAGCTTTACGTGGGTGGTGAGGGGGGATTTTGAAATTAGGGCAATGTCGATTCTTTTTTCGTATAATGTAGCAGTTAATTAATTTGTGTGATTTAGAATGCTTTTACAATTACATAGGAGGACGAGGAGTGAGTTGCCAATAAAGTTATTTTTCATTATTGTTTTTAAGAAGTTGTGTGATAACTGTTTGTAAGAAGCGATAGGAGTGAATTTATTATTGCTTTAAATTCGGCAATACAATTTTTAAGGGATGAGGTGAGGTCTGTTGGTTGCTTGATCATAGGAGAGGGCTTTGATTTGGTTTCGGAGGTAAAGTAAGCATAGGTGATTTGGGGTTGAGCGTAATTGGTAGAAGTAAGCCGGGGTGTCGCCTATGGATTAACTTGTTGAGAGGTGAATTTTGAAGTTGGTTTTTGATTTTTTTGGAGTTGCTTGTGTATGTCACAAACTCTCTAGTTGGCTGGATGACTTCCTTGGCAGAGCGCACAGGTGGGTGGGACGTAATTTGGTTAATCGTAGGAAGAATGATATGTGATTTTTACCAGAGCCTATACTACGTGGTCTATAATTGTAATAAGAGCGGGTTAAGTCACCGTAGTCTTAGCAATTCTGGCATTGGACTAGTTCACATCGTTTATGTGGTTCTTCTACCTTGATTTTAGTGTGAGGATATATGTAATGTCGATAATTATTTTACTGTTGTCTTCTTTAACCAGGTCTACGTAATAGAGTGGTAGAGCTAGTTTTGTTTGACGTTGTTGTATATTCGCTACTTGTAGTACCTACTGAAAGGTTGAAATTTTCTAGTGCCGATTTTATTTCTTCACATGAGGTAGATGGATGGAGATTACGTAGTACTACTCTGAAGGGGTTTTCATTATGTGGTTGATATATATGAAATTGAGCGTTTTTTTGGGCGTTCAGAAAATGAATTATTTGACGATAGTCATCAGAAGTATTAGCTTGAACTTTGATATTTTTTTGAGAAATTTGGCAGAAAAAACCATTTTCCCCTATGAGATCAATTAGTAATTTACGTATAAGATTTCAGTCGAGTTGTTGATTGGCGATAAAGATCGGAGGTATTTGATCTTATTTTGGAGGTACATTGGACGTGTCCATTGCTGTGAACTCTGAGGGAGTGTGAGAATCTGTTTTTCAATGACATGTTCGGTGTTAAAATCAAACATGTTTGCATCTGTCGCAAGTGCCGCATATCGGCATGGTGAAGAAAATATTTGAGGTTGGGTTGTAGATTTATTTTTATTGTTGTTTCGGTTAAAAGGAGTTCTGGGAGAACCAAGACTATCATCGTCAGTGGATGTCGGTATAACTTTGTTGTTTTTAATTGTTATTTGAGGAATTTTTTTTCTTTTAAGAAGTAGGCATATTTACAGGGCCGTCTCAAGGTTTTTCGGGGCCAGGGGCAAATTAATTTGGGAGCCCTTCGACCATAATAATAAGATATGATAAACAAAATATTTCTGTTGCATACCTCTTACAAACGTATTTTTCCAAACCTTAACCAATCAAGCTCATTTAAATTCATGTACTACATTACATACCTTACATAATAGAATTTAATATTATTCATAATTTTTATAATTTAATCGTTCAATGTAATCGGACAAGTCGCTACACGTTTACACTCGCGCAACTTTAATCGCCGACACGCAGCGTGTAAAATTACTCAGTGTAATCGAGGCTTTTATTATTAATTATTATACATCAAGTCTTCATGGGGGCATCCTAAAAAATATTCCAATAATGAGGCCTGGGGCAAAATGGTCCCATTGCCCTCTTCCCTCTATACGGCCCCGCGTATTTAATATGAGTCGTATAATTGAATATTTATTATTTACATCATTAACGTAATTTATTATTATCTATAGTCGACCGTTACTCTAGGTCCTAACTAGTGCGTTTGCGCTGCGTGCACGCATCGCAAAATATAAAATAGTTAGGACAGCGTTAGCAAGGTAGCGGTATGCCAGTGATGGGCGCCGTGTGGCGCGTAGTATTATGTAACGTTGTCGGTAATAATAAGTTATAAATTCTTACCGGTTAGTTAAAAATTTCGAGTTCTTCTGTTTTTCTATAAGACTCAGGCCTCTTATAAATAGAAATTGTACATAATACTCGGCAGTGGCGTTCTCAGGAATTTTCAATGGGGGGGCTCTGAAAATTTACTAGAATACAAAAGTGGGGGACTCTGTCCTCCACACCCCCCATAATCATAATAATTAAAATTTTTGTTCTGTTTTAAAAAATCACATTATCACAAATTGTCACCAAATTGTTAAATTGATAGCGCGGTCGTGTCATAGAACATGTTCTATGGTCGTGCTCCAATCCAACTTGATAACCGTGATAATGGTAACTAAAGACGTATAAACCACTAAATTATAATCAATAAAAACAATAATCAATTATTATTAAATTATTGGAATAATTTTAAAAAAATACGGCTAATAGGGGGTTCAAACCCCATAACCCCTTCCCCCGTGAATACGCCACTGTTACCCGGGGTATGTTTATACGAGTATTTTAATATACATTTTTAGTTATTAAGACTATTAGAGTAGAATTTTAGAATATTAGAGAAGAAATGAAAAAGATGTCGAAAAGGTGTTGCATATAAACGATTAATTCAGCAGTTCTCAAACTTTTTTTTTCACGTTCTACTTGATTATATCATCAATCGGTCACGTACCACTAATGATTAAAAATAGAACCATAAAAACTTTACATGGTTAAATATATTTATTTTAAATAAAAGGGCTGTGTAATACTATAGTAAAATTATTATTTATTTATTGATACAAATGTATTAATGTTTTTAAACTAATATATGAATTAAATATCAAATTTTGAATTTCCGTTCTGCCACCATGCGGCCTTCCGTATACTACCATGTAGTCTTTCGAGTACCACTAGTGGTACGCGTACCACAGTTTGAGAACCGCTGGATTAATTTAAAGAATAAGATAAATTTCAATCAGTTTAAAAAAATGTCTTCATAGAAATAGTATTAAATCCTAAAACAAAGTTTATGTATTTTTAGAACAATAGCTTTAGCATTTTGTTTTTCAATGAATGAATCGATATGCCCATTTTAAAGAATGATTCTTGTTATAACAAGCTTCAGAATACTGTGCTGAATAATATATGTCGTTTAATAAATAGGTTGCCTACATCAAGACTCCAAAATAGCATCACCTGAAATCCAAACAAACAATAGCCTTAATTGTGCATAGAGTAAAATAAAAATATGATGGTAAATATCTCTACTTTAGACAACAACTACTAAAATCAAGACAGCAGAAATCTTGGTCCCATAAACACAATAACAACTACAACAGTGGGAAAAAGTATACATTACATGTTAGACCAAATGAAGCTATCATTTGGTAGTCCAGTATCAAGAGCAATGTGGACAACTTTTAAACAATTAAAAATAGGAGTTGTCTGAATTTATTAAAATTTAAGGAAAGAGGAACATATTGATGAATTAATGAGTATAGAGAACAAAAAACAATAAAACACTCACAGAAATATCCTCTACTCAATAACATTTATATATAACATATATATTATATAGCATTTGATTTAGACATAAGCATGATTAAGTCAGGAGTATTAAAATTTTATATTTTAATTAATTTTTAATTCCTGAACACTATTAGAAGAATGTAGAAATAGTATTATTTAGAAAAGGATTATTATTAAGTCTTTAAGGAATAACTTTTTGATCTTTTATAAACTTATAAATTTTATTAATACTAGTACAAATTTAAATGATGAATATAGATACTTTTGTTGATGATACTTACTCATTAAATTAATATTAATATATAATCAACATGCTTGTGAGGTGTGCTTTTCTCAATGCATTTTTATTTTAAATTATTAATTGTATTTTCTAAAAAATATCGACTAAATACTTTTTTGTGACATGTTTTAAATAGTCTATTAAATCACTAATAATTGTTAATTTATATTTAAATATGAATTTATTTAAAATGTTGTTTAAAAATGTGATTTTTAGGTATGGCCAAATTGATGAAAAATTTTTAGTACCGAAAATTCCACCTGACTTATTTTTATCATCTTCTAGTAGCGGTTCTTCAACTGAAGTGTTGCCTCACTTGAAATGTAATTATGTCTAAATATAGAACTTTTAAAATGATACTTTTACCTTTAACAATTTAATCCATACAATCCTAATTGTTTTGTAGAAATGGGCCAAAATGTATTTAAAATTAAAATGTATAATTCCCATGTATAATTCTAATTATTAAAGAATCAATAGTTTCATTTACTGTATTATAATTTAAACAAAATTTTTTAGTCTTAACCTTAAATGTAATTTTTTTAATTCAGCTTTCTTTCATTTTTTGCTGCTATAACATTTTATTAATTAATTTAATTTTTCAACTCTAATATTAGCTTATTTATTTTAGCAAAATCAAACAATATTTTAATGACAAAAAACGTTTATGCCTATCCAGAAAATTTAATTTGTGAAAAATGCAGCCATATTTATCCAAGAGTACCAGAAAACTTGGGATGTAAAAACTTTAGTAATACAGCAAAATTAAAAACTAGGTAAGAAATGTGATTAGTCTAATCCTGAGTGATTTTTAAAATTTGTTTTGATTTTTTATGTTCAAGTGTTGAAGAATCAAAACGAAAACCCAAACAGTTAAATAAAAATAATGATTGTAGTTCAAAGAAAACATCAAAAGTTTGTTAATATTATACTTTAATATTTGGTTATGTAAAATATAATTTTGGTTATTAATTTTTAGAAACCCATAACTAACACAGAAAATATAATTGCTAAAGAAACTGATATTAAAAAAGAACTTCAAACTAATGATATTCTGTGTGATTCTATAGAAAATAAAATAATTAATCCTGTTTCATTTAATTTAGGTTGGTTAAATATTTTTAGTAAAATTTATAATTTGAACAAAGTTGCATTCATTTGTTATTATTATTATTTGCAGGTAATGAGGTATTGGCATATTGGGTAGCAGACAAATTATACTATCCTGCCATTATAATTGATATTGTACCTCCAAAATTTAAAGTTGAATTTATATCTGATTGTGTTGTAAAATTATTAAATATTGAGGCGCTTGTACATAGTTCAGCTTTAAAAAAAGGGTCTCCCGTTGCAATATTTGATACCGTTTCACAAGAGTATCGAGTTGGTGAAATTGTCTCTGTTAATCAGTGTGTATTATATACTATTTTTAATGATTTAGCGTATGAAGCTTATTAATTTATTTTTTTCAGCTTATCTGTTGGAGATAAAACTTACACAATTGATTTAGATTCAGAAGAGGTTGTTGTTCCTTTTGATAAATTAATTTTGAGCACTGAGCATGCCAAAATGTTGCAAGATAAAAATTTATTTAAAAATTATGATAGACTTAGCATGTGTAAGTATATAAAATAATTGTTATGATTCAGCTAAAAATTATTAATTTTAATATCATATTAGCAAATGTATCCGAAGGAAAAAGAATCCGTTCATCACGTTCGACTACTACAAAATGCATAAAATCCAATAAAAAAAATACCAATAATGAATCCAGTAAACGTAAAAAAACTGCCCAAGGATCGAGCAATAATAAAAAACGAAAATGCTTGTTTCCTGTAGAACCTGATTTCAGAAATATTCCAAGTACTAGCACTGGAATAACTGAAAATGATTATGATATATGCATCCAACCTTCTTCAGATTCAGAATTTGAGTAAGATAATATATTATTTCAGTATAATTTGTTTATTATTAATATCAATATGTTGTCTTTTATATTTATAACTATCATAATAACTGTTAATTATTTCTTATTATCTTAGTATATAGTTCGTAAGTTCTTCAATCGATTGATAGTTTGCTGCAATCTTCATGATTTTGGAACTTATTTCCTTTGAATCTTTATAATTAAGGGAATTTGATCCTGGTTAGGTTTTCATACATTTCAGACCAATAAACGGTGGTAAATTTCATATACTGCCGAATGTCCGATTTTAATTTTTAATATATGTATGAATTCTTTGACAAGGTATCTAGACTTTTTAGGAAGTCAATTTTAAATTTTAAAGGACCTTAAATATAAGGTATTTCTAAAAAAAAATCCCATAAAATACATTACATTTGTTTTTATTTTGGGCACATCTGGTTTTTAATCAAAAAAGTGATTCCTAAAGAGCATAGTATAGAAACTTGATTATTTCAACCATTTTTTTAAAATTACAATTGAACTTCAGAAAAAATGTTTAATTTACTACCACTTAGTAGTTTTAATACTAGTCCTCGAGTCTTCATACATATCCTGAATCGATTTTATATATTTTTTTGGAACTTATTTTCTCATTAATGCCTATTTTAAAACTTCTCTTGGCACTCTGTCATACACTTTCTAAATCTCATGCATCGTTTTTTATTCTTTTCTCTATACTTCTCTACTACAGTGGTTTTCAACCTAGGGGTTATAAAATATAGTTTGGGGGACCCAAAAATAAAAAACAAATGGTTATATATATCAATATGTATTAAATGAATCTAATTATTACGAATGTACAATAACATATCGAATAAATAGTGTATAACGTAATCTTATCTGACGACAGATTATTAACTATAAGCAATTGTGGTCACCGATCTTAATTGGATTGACATTTAATATTTGATTATTTTTACATTCATACTGTATACGAGTATTTTAATAATTTTAGCCACAAATATATTATTTAATAATAAGTTTGATTAAAAACCAAAATTTAAGAGTAGCAATTTCTAAAGTATAACCTAATATGGAAACTATAGTTTCAACAATTCAAAGATAAGTTTCCCATTAAAACAAGAAAATTATTAATTTTATTCTTCTTCCAAGTCCTTTTTTTCCAAATATTTTCCCAAGAAAAATGAATTGGAGTATTGAATCTCATTCCGCTTTATGTATCTTAGATATTGAAGCATTTTTTATCTTTATGATGTTTACTAGCTCAGTGTTCTTGTTCAATCTCCTAAGAATTTCAACATTAACGCTAACAAACTGTCTACGGTATCTTCAGTATTCTTCTATACAGCCATAACTCGAATGCTTTTAACTTTTTTGTATGGCATTTTTCAGTGTTCAGGATTCCACACCGTAGAACAGCACAAAGAACACATAGTATCTTATGTGTCTTATTTTTGTTTTTCTCCATACATCCCTCCATACATTCTTTTTTCTTGGCTTCTTTTATTCTTCTTCTTATAAGTATATTAATCTATTATATTCCGATTTATTTTGTTTATGTTTTCTTCTTTCTTCTATTAGGTCCAAAATTTCATCTGTCATCCAAGTCTTCTTTTTTTTTTCGACTTGATTTTAAGAATTCTTTCTTTATGTTTTAAACCATTTCTCCAAACTGTATAACATCTTCTTCAAAATTATTACCTTGTTTTAACTGATTGATTTGTTCATTAATTTGTAATCCCACTTTCTGTTTTACTGAGGACCGACGAAAGCTGTTTTCATTCTTTCCCCTAATTTGGCATTGAAATCCCCCTTTATAATATTTAGATTGTTTTTAGGAAGATGATAAAAATCCTCCTGGATACTCTGATAAAAGAGCTCCACTTCTTCCTCACTTTTGTCTGCTGTTGGGGCATCTATTTGTATAATATTTATATTGATAGAGTTTGATTGTACCTGAAAAAGTAATACTCAATCTGATATTGGTATAAAGTTCGTTAAGTAATATTCGTAATATTCTATGTCCTTTTTCCATATCCCCTGATTCAAGCCATCTCATTTCATTTATACCCAAAATTTCTATTTTCATCCTCTTCATTTCGTGGATAGAATTATCTATTTTGCTTGCTTGTGCCATTGTTCTAACATTCCAAGTACCTATTTTCAAGGGTTGCTTGAAGCTGGTTGACTCATCATTCTTATCGGCACTCATAACTGTCCTCCCCGGAGATCCGAATGGAGGACTTACTCCAGAATTTAATTTAGCTATTAGCATTGCTATAAATGATTTTACGAAGACTATCCCGATCTTTAATGTAGTGGTTGTCCTCTGCCTTCTACATCCTTATACCGTTGCCCACTTCCGTGGTTCCTCCGCCTTTAGAGTCGGTTTCCCAACTCTAGGGCAAACAATTACCCTACTCTACGCAGCTCATCTGCTTCGAAAGCCATTGGCTTTGTAAAGGAGTCTCCTTATCTCAAGAGACTTTCGGTGTTCCTACTAGTCGTATTTTACGACAGGGGGAACAACCTGGCCTTATTCTTTCCCTAGAGCCACACGGAGACCTTAAGTATTGATAAAATAAATCTTTCTTCAATTTTCTGGCATTTTCCTTCTATTAACAACCTATTTAAAAGATCTTTCAACTATCCAATGCTTACTCCCTTAAACCAATCATTGTATCAAAAACTAATACTTAGGTATATCTACATACAGTGGCATAACTAGGGGTGGGAGTTTAAACCCCTCTCAATATGTAGTTAACTCAATGTTACCTCATTCTTCACTCCAAACACCTACCAAATTTAAATTTTTTTCAAATGTTTAACGCCCCTGTAATATATACCTACTTGGTTGCGTCATTGATTTAACATTTTTTTTTTATATATATAAATAATTACTTGAGAGAAATGACGAGTTCTGAACAGATATAGAACCAAAAGTAATACAATTTTAAATTGGAAATGTATTACCAGTAATTATTTATTCACGGCTTGACCAAGGTCTTCCAAGCAGACTTTTAAATATATTGTTGATTTTATTTATTTAATTATTAATTACGTCGACAATAATATAATACAATACGTATATATGGACTTTTTGGAAAAACTTGTTCTACCGCCGCATCAGCGCATTTGTGATTAGTACATAGAAAAAAGATAAGCGACACGGCTTGGCATGGCATACTAGATGAGGGAAACTAGCGGAGTAATTACACCCACTAGTTATTATTTACTTCATGCATGCGTGTGTAAAATCGCTTTTATTCAACTCTTTAAAAACGGTCCGGATCGAATCCGCTCAACTGTTTTACATGTCTTATGTATTTCGATCTTTGGTCTTTCTTTTCCAAATTGGTCTTCTACATTACCATTGATGTTTTTTGTTAGACTATTATCATACATTAGACACCCTATCATTATTTCTCTTCTAATTTTAATAGTATACCAAAGTTCTCGTTTTTCCTTTGAATATTCAGTCCTTTTAACTTTAAAATTAACTTTAAAAAAATGTCCACATGCTCAAGTTTTCTATTATCTTCTGTACCTATTGTTTGATTGTTATTTACAAGTTAGAATACATGTTTTTTAAATGTCTGATTATAGTTCTGCTTCCTTATTGTTTAAGTATCTGAAATCAATATAATTTTCCAATTAGTTCCTTTATTTAATCCAAAAATGAATTTCTTAATTAAAAATTATTGATGACTATATCAATTAAAAATTAACTAAAATTAGTATATATTTAATATTCTTGAAGATCTAAATGATGCAATAACAATAAAAACTATGATGAATAATTAACTATATTATGCAAGTGATGTAACCTGATTTTGGATAGACTTCAGATAATTTGTGTTATTTAGACATTTTTGTCCTATTGCTAATTGTATTATACTAACAAAATTGACATCATACAATTTTGTCCCGGTTAATTGTCATATTTATATTTCTTCAACTTTTTTTTTTTTTAGTTTAATTAGAGAAGATTTAACTACAGTAAACATGAGCCAAATAAGAAACACTGACATTGATAGTGAGCATTTGTCTCCTGACAAAACTGCACGTACAGTCAAATCTCCTATCAGTAAATCTATAAAAGTATTTAAGGACTTACATTTTGTCCTATCTTATGCTAAGTACAAACGAATTCCTATGACCACTGACAGCGAACAAGGTACTGACCATGATGCATCATATAGTAAGTTAAAAATTATAATTTAATTGTATGTATATTTTAAACTTTTTTATGTATATTTCTCAGATACAAGTTTTTTCAAGCCTGATAAACCACATAAAAAATATTTAGAAACATTAATTAAGGAAAAATGGTGGCAGTGTTCATTCGTTTTTGAATGTAATACCCAGGTCGTGTTATAAGTTTTCGTACCTTATTACTGATACACCTTCACAGACTTGTAATTTTTACTTGAGTTTAAGTCTTGGTATACCATCTTATCATCATAAACATGTTGAAAATGCTGTTTCTGAAGTAAGTATAATGACTAAATTGCTAGAATATAAACTAAGTTCATGATATAAAAAAAATGGGTTAGTACGCTTTATCTTTACCTGTCAGTTTTATTTAATATCTAGCATATTGAATTACATATGCTCTAAAATGTAGACATCTCATGGATAAAATTGGGTTTTAATTTTAGTGCTTGTTTCCAAATCATCAACTTATGATAAATGAAAAGTGTTATTATCAGTTGGTTGATACATCATATGTATCAATGAGAATAAATCATTTTATTTAATTGATTTGGGAATTAATTTAAATTTTCATATGGCTAAATATTTTGATAAATTTAGTTACTCATTTCTAATTGTGACAAGTATTTATTTTTTATTTTTTCTGATAGAAGGAGAATCTCTGTTGTTATTGTTATACATATGATAAATTCATCATTATTATATTAATATATAACTAAAAATATAAAATTGAAGTACATACAAATAATTGTTTCTCTAAATAGTCAAAACTGTGTTTTAGAATCTATTGTTCTCTGAGTATCTAACCAAATATAATGTTAAACCTATCCCGAATGGGTATTCTGAAGAAAAAAAAGAAGTAATCTTTCGATCTCCAACAACTGTTCATTCAGCTATATTTTATGGTTACATAATTTACTTAGCTCTAAATGAACATGACAAGAATGAATTTTTCGCAAGTTTACTAAGATTTTGTGGTGCCATAGTATACACATCATGGATAGGTGGTATGTAAACTGGATTATTTTCCTCTCACCTAATTATTACACTACGCAATTTTTTTACGGTTGTCATATTCATAGGCACAACTAGGATAAATATTCTGAGAATGCTGTAGCTCCTCAATTCTCATTTTATTGAAATGTGATTGTAAAACTAATTAAAATAATAAACCACAAGAATACCACAAATTTTAATATTGCCTATATTTTACACTATTATATAAAGATCAAATACAATATTTTCAAGTGGAAAACCTAGTCGTGCTTGTGATTATTTGTATAATGTTTTGGTTCTTATGAAGATTAACAATTGTAGATTTATGTGTTCATTAGGTGTATGTTTACCGTTGACTCATCATACTACAGTCATTATTACAGATGAACATTGTCCAAGTGACCTGGAACACGAAAAAGTACCTAAACTTTCGACTAATTGGTTGATTCAAAGTTTAATATGTGAATCACCTCGTCCAATTGATGGACATGAAAGTTATATTGCAATAGCTGACAATTAGCAATTAAGCTGAGTGAAATTTACTATCAACAATTCTATTTTAATAATGGGAATTTTTTTTTTCTTTGGTAAATTGTTTACATAATTACCAATACAGCGGGTATTTTTTTTATTTTTGTTAGTAAAAAATAAAACAAGTAATAACTTATATGTGTTATGTGTATACTCTGTATACCATTTATCCTATTAATAGTATATAAATTATTATTTGTGTTTAAAAGTATTTTTTTTTTTTAATTTTTATTTTTTTTATCCATTTTTTATTATTTATTCTCAATACAGACAGAATGTTCAAATTCGAATGGTTGTACTTTTAAATGAATTTAGTGCATTTCTGTAATACATGTTAATCTAAATGTAAGATACTATTTTTTTTTGTATTATAACTATTATTATTATTATATCTGAACAAATCATTCATTGCGTTAATTTTATGTATTTCAAATTACAGCTTTAAGTAAGTGACTCAGATTCTATTAACTTGCAACAAACAATCTTTGCATACATCTTTAATGTGATTGTGCATATAATTTGACATTAAATGTATAGTGACTATATACTATGTATTCATTTTTTTTTTTGTTGAAATTTCCCAATTATATTTTGTATATAAATATTGTTAATACAATTTAATTTACAATTGAGCGATTAATCTTCTTTTTATAACAAAAATAAACTTTTGATTACATTTCTCTCTTTATTCATTAAACGAATACGTTGTGTAATTTGTTATCGATATTTACATGAAAATAAGTTGTTTCGTTGTCTTTAAGTAGTCTTGTAAAGAATTCTATGAGTTACACTATTGATACTTTGAGAGTAGTGTATAAATAATGCAATTTGATTCACTGAAATTGTGTATCATCACTCGAACTGTTACCCTATTAATACAAATTCAACAGGAATGTACATAATAATTAACTTCAATGAAGGTAACTTTTAAAATGATCAACAACTGATTTCAATAATAGAATAACATTTTAATTTCTTTATTATTAAACATAATATAATGTAATACCTGCTATTGACTAGGCTCAAGTATCTAATAGTTTCATTTTTTCGTTGACAACAAATAATATGAATTACAACTTTTAAAATATCCAGAACATTCATAATTTAGTCAATTGTTTGAAAAGTGTACTTAATTTTATGACATATAGATTATGTTTCCTAAAATAAATAAATAATAGTTTAATAATTGTCATAATTAAGTAATTGATTTATTGTTAATAGTACATCGAGTCATGGGTGATAGTTATGAATTTGAAAATGAAAAAAATAAATAAAATGATAGGTACAAATGAAATGGATAGCAATGACAAAATGTTTCTCATGATTTATTTTTCTTAATAAATTACCTAAATACTTATCACAGAATCAATGACTGTACTAAATAATCATTTAAATTGTACTTCAAGTAGTCTGGATATTTCAATGTCTGGATAAAATATTGTTTTTATAAAAATTAAATTAAATAGAAAGGAACAAACACGAAAAACTCGAGGGGTTATTGCTAATCTGTATGGGCCTAGAATTTGCACAAAATAAATAATATACAAAAGTACAATAATTTAAATTAATGGACCAATAATTTCTTTCTACGAAGTTAAGAACATTCTTCGACTTTACGGCAGATTTCATCAGTAAACTCTGAACACTTGGCTTTTCCACCCAAGTCACCAGTTCTATATTTGCCTTCTTTGATGGTATCAAAACAAGCCTTCTGAATAATATCAGCCTGAGAGTTAAGTTCCATATGTCGCAACATCATAACAGCAGACAAAAGTAGAGCAGTGGGATTGGCCAAGTCTTTTCCTGCTATGTCTGGAGCAGTTCCGTGAACCTGATTAAAAACAAAATTTATTTATTTCTAATTAGATGACAAAACTAAATTACATCACTAATGCTTTTAACCTACAGATTCGAATAGAGCACCATTACTGCCAATGTTTCCACTAGGTGTCAAACCTAAACCACCAACTAATCCAGCACACATATCAGACAATATATCACCGTACAAATTAGGCATGACTAAAACATCATAATGACTGGGGTCTTGAACCATAGTTAAACACACGGTGTCTAAGTATTTTTCTTCAAACTTAATCTGTGGGTATTTGGAAGAAGCTTTACGACAACATCTTAAGAACAAACCGTCAGACATTCTCCTGTAAAATTTCACATTTTAGAACTCACTTTATTTGGCGAATGTATTTATCATACACACATAATGTTAGCCTTATGTACAGCAGTGACCTTAGATCGTTTATTTTCAACTGCATATTTGAAAGCAAATTCAGCTACTCTAGTTGAAGCTTCTTCGGTGATCAATTTGATGGATTGTACAACTCCTTCAACAATTTCATGTTCAATACCCGAGTATTCTCCTTCAGTATTTTCACGAATTGTTACTACATCTACATTTTCATATAAGGTAGGATAACCTTCAAGTGAACGACAAGGCCTTACATTGGCATATAAATTGAATTCTCTAAAAAAAATTATACAACACAAACTGTAAGTGATCCCTAATAATAGATATTGAAAAATATAACAATCAGATTTATAGTAACTTACTTTCGAAGTGCCAAGTTCAATGAACGATGACCTTTACCAACGGGTGTCATAAGAGGTCCTTTAAGGCCAATTTTATTTGTATTTACAGATTCAATAGCTTTGGATGGTATTTTCATTGTACCATCTGGAGCTCTTACAGGAGTAACATCAACAACATCCCATTCAATAGGAGTCTAAAAGAACATATTTTGCTTTTAAAAAAATAATGTAAAAATCAAATTAATAGGAACATTAATTTTTATATCAAATAATATCATCCAATAAATATAAACCATTGAAAACATATTATTAAAAATAATTAATACGTTTTCATGTTCAAAATATCTATAATTTTGTAAATTTTTTACAATTCACATTTATGGGAAAGTTATCAAAATGAATACAATATCTAAAACAAATAAAACAAATAACTAAGAAATGACTAACAAATTCAATAGACTATCAATTAGGTTAATGATTTAATTTATTAATTTTCAAATATTATGTTTTTTCATGAAACAATTCAGACAACTAAATTCAAGGTGTGTGAATCAAGTAAAACGTATGTACTTACTCGGGCAGCTTCGAAAATTTTTTGTACAGCGGCCGAAATTTCAGGACCGATTCCATCTCCAGGGATCAGCGTCACTTTTCGTACTTCCGAGCTGTAGGAACGCGCCAGATACTGTGAAATGTTGTTCTGTAAACAAGCGGATAAGGATTCCCATTGAGAAAAGACTAATAGGCAATGGTCGAACAATTGTCTCGGCCAGAAATAATAATAATATGACGAGCGCGCGAAAATCGAGATAACTTACGATCTTGTGGAATATCCTGTGAGCCATGGTGAAGATTCGTCGTCGGTCGGACGGCGGTGGTAAGTAGTACCGGTGTTAGACGGAGACCAAAGGAAATCTTTGGGCTTCACGGTGGACAGAGGAACTTTTTTACCTATGGCCTAGTGAAAAACTGAAAACCAAAAGGGTTGATTGCGTTTAAAAAAAAAAAATAGTTAAGAGGTTAAAGGAACAGATGTTTTCAAATGGCCCAGACGTCGGTGTCGGGCAGTACGTGTTCTTTTTATTCCATGACCACGGCGAAAAAGCGGTCACCGAACAGTGACAATAGGAGAGTTGCACCGGTCGAGATTCGGCGCCACGGATTATCAATGATAACGTCGATTATCAATACGGGACGATACTAGGGCCCTGCAAAACCTCTACAGTGCCTTAACGATACGTACAATCACGCGGGATTAACGTCGCCGCCATAAACGAACGGTTTAAAAAAAAAAAAATTATAATAGTAATAAAAAATCTTTTTTTTTTTTCTAAAGCAAACAATTCAATGCCATGTCAACAATAATAATAGTTTGACAACAGTACCTTTCGATTTGTTATCGTTAAACGCGTACTCCGGACAACGTAACACCGTCCGGCGGACCGATCCGTCGTCGTTCGGTAGCAGCACGAATCTTGCCATTGGTCCCCGACGCGTGGTCCGTCCGCGTGCGATCTACACTAATTTAAACTGTTCGCGGTCACCGAGGACCTACGATAATCAAGTAGCGCGCGTCCAAAGACATTGTTAACGGCAGTATAATACCAATTCAAGCGTTCGCTAACGAGCCGACGGTGCAATTACAACGTAAAGAAACGCAAAACGTCCGACACGGTACGCACGGTAAAGACAATGCGCGTGTTTGACAAGCACACCGTCTTCCAAGCGACGTTCGATTTTAATTATTGATGATTATGCTCTAAACACGAACGGATTGCGAGCGCGTTACACCTACACGGACGGTCCGCGCCGGTGGTATGGGGGGAGGGAATAGTTATGGGGGCCCTCCTCTCCCCTCGAGCTCTTTTCCTTCTCCCGATTTGCATTTTTCTTCAATGTGTTCGAAATATTTTTCACTCATTTATTTTGTCTATCACGAACAAAGTTTAAAATTATTTTATATATGTTGCAGAAGTATTCGAATATTTTATCATTATTTCGTTCGTTTCGATTGAAATGCTTTTCTACTAAATACGTGTTAAGATCTTTTTCCTAGAGTGATAAGGAATTAGGTACCAATCTCCCCTACCCACGCATCCATAATATAAATATTAAATACGCCACTATTACCACGTATACGATTGAAATGGTGACAATAAAATTTGACTGACTTGTCGTGTTTAACCTATTATGGTGAAACCAAAGCGAGAGTGTTGAAAATGTGAAACGAGATGAAAAATATTAATCGTACAGTGAATGACAAACCATTTAATAAGGTAGGTATCGAGGCCGTATCTAGACATTTTTTTCGGGAGAAGTCCAAAAAATGTATATTGTAATTTTATTGAATTTAGATTTTAACTCTTGAAATTTGGTTAAAAATAAGACAGAAAAAAATGTAATCTTCTTTTATTAAAATTAATACCATATTTTCATATATTATATTATAAAACTATAAGCAGTCAATGGTTAATTGGAACTTAAATCATTTTTGGCTGAAAATGTTTATGATGGTATTAAAAAAAAATTATTATTTTAAAAATTCGTAAAATATTGAAGAAATTTCGGGGAGGATCCAGACACTCTGGACCCTCCCAGATACGGCCTTGGTAGGTATACATCTTAAGATGCGTCCAAACACCTGTAGATTGACAGTCGGTAATTTAGTGAAACATCAACATTTACAGCAACATTTTGTTTCGTTCTATTTTCTAGTATTTCGAAACGAAAAAATTTTTGTTTTCTTCGAGTGTAATCAGTGGCGTACATACGGAGGGGTTTCCGGGTTCAAACCCCCCCCCCAGGGCCAAAAAAAAAATTGTTTTATTATTGATGACGTGTAATATATTCGTAGTTTCATTATTACGCTTTGAACTTAAAATATACAACTATACAAATATTATGATAATTAAATAATTATATTGATAGGTGTTTGAAAAGTTTTGTTAACTATGCTGTTTTTATATTCCAATAGTTATTTACTGAAATGTAAAAGTAAACTGTAAATTGGTAAAAAAGTTGTACAAAATAATATCTATTTATAGCAGTTATTTATCTTATTAATCTGTGCAACGAAAAAAGAAGATAAAGATTATTTTTTTAACCCCCCCCCCCCCCCAGAGCAAGATTGAATGTACGCCACTGAGTGTAACAATTAACAGTCTTTTCGTGACATATTTAGTTTTACATTCGGTAGTTGCATAGATATATAATATTATACGCAGGTACACACAATCGTTATTGGCTTCCAGTTTTGATATGCACCCCGGCCGTTGCAATCCTTGCACCGCCCGTCAACGCACGGCACAATAGGAAAAGGTCTTTGTCGTCATCGTTCGGTCGTATCGCACACACGCAAGCATAAGATACTATAAATGTATCTCATAAGCGTAATATGTGTACGAAATATTATGTGTATACTCGTTTTAAACTCAAATTGACGACATTAAATTCCTTAAACACGTAACCATACATCATATTCGGCGGCGGAACTGTAGGGCGGCGGGTGCGCGAGAAGGGGTGTACGCATGCGTGCATATATATATATATGTATATAAAATAAACATCCTTCTCTCCTTTCGAGTAGAAATTTCGGGATGGAACAATAATAATAACGGTACGGCGGCAGCGGTGCTTTGTGTGCACGCCACATGTAAAGCGGAGAAGACGGTTTCGCGACGAAATGTACCGCGTCTTATTATTAAATGAAATATACGCTCGTTCCCTACCCCCCCAATCCCGTTGATGTGATATAGAGCTTATCCGAAAGGTATACTCACACACACACACACACACGCGCGCGCGCGCGGGAGAGGGGAAGTCGGGTAGAAAGAATCGACGGAATCTCGCAGGGATACGCTACGTTGATGTCTGTTGTCTAACGTGGCGTAAAGGGAGGAAAACGTTTTCCGCATTAATCCTGTCCGCATTGGTTGAATACATTATATATATTTATATACACGCACAACGGAAACTCTTACGGCTAGTGTGTACGTGTGTTTCTCTCTCGCAGTCTCGTCGTCTTCTGTCTCTTGATCAATCTCCCACGACGTATAGTTTGCGTACACCGCGGTTTATATGTGTGTATATAGGTACGTATATATAATGTCTCTTGGTGTATTCTCTTTTCTCCGCTTCGGTTCTTTTGTTGACGCATTTTAATCTGAACAAGAGAACGATGTACACAATACACACACACACACACACATACACACACACATACATGTGAACGAGAAAACCATCCTCCCCCCTCACACATCCCAACCTTTTAGGAGCCTTTTAATATCCCCGGGGAACTTATACACTGCGATGAGACCATATGTAGTCGTCGTCACACGCGCCACATCGATTGTTGACAATCCAAATCGGTTCATACATTGATACGGACCCACACGACCGTAATGATAAAAGAGACTTACGCGCGGTCCGGATACCACGCAGGACGAAGGATCACGTGTGGTTTGATCGGCTCGCTCATTCATCCCACACATACTTATTATATACATGACGGTTAGTTTCCCGAACATATATATATATATATATATATAATTGTGTTTCTATATCCTTTATTTATACCGCTAACTTTAAATTTAATCTCATGAATAGATAGGTTTTAAATACAATGTTTTCTGCAGTGCGATTACACATATTATTATAGTACGAGTACCTACTTCAAATGACAAAATAAGACCTCAACGTTGGAAAGGTATTATCGAGTAGATTTGCAGAATTGTTTTTTCTATATAAGTGTTGCCGTAAGGGCGGATTAAAGCACTTTGAATATCAAATATTAAATAGTTATGATTGTCAATTAATGAATTTAGAGTGTCATTTTTTCAATTTTCTACAAATTTAACGAAGTAAATCTAGTGCCTGATTTCAAATCCATTATGGTGTTACTTATGACTGGTTAAATCATTATTAACTTCGATACAATTTATTATTATTAATGTTCTACTACCCTTAATTTCTATCAGTGAACAAGATATACACGATTGAAAATAAATACGAAAGCAATTTTTCTGCCAATAATTTAAAAACGATTACCCCTTGTGAAGCTAAAGATTTCATTACGTCACTTAGATTTATGTATAATATGAATAAGTGCACATCTGAGTGCGTGGTGTGTGTACCTGTAATATTAGTATTAGATCAGTATTATGAATTGCAGCTATCAGAACACATATGTATTATTACTTGCACTATACGTCTATGTAAGTGTACGATTTTTTAGCCTTTAGTAATCAAAAGTTTCTCTATTACTAAAACCAATTTTACCCCTAACGTTTTAAAAACCCATTGCTTTTGAGTCTTGATTATTTTGTCAAGAGGGTTGTGAATCATTATAGCTATTTTTCCAGACTTTTTTCCAAAGCATACTCGAAAAGTCTCAATCGTCATTTGTTTTTCACTGCTAGGTTTTTTTACATATATAGAAATTAAAAAAAAAAAAGGTTTACCATGCACACTTGTGGTATTCGTCTCCCGTTTATACCGACGAAAGAGGGTTAGTGGAAATTTAACGGCATCGTATCAGACGAGCTCGTGTACACGAGGGGTGGTTTTTAAATCCCTTCGTTTTTTATCTGACACCGTGTGCAGAAATTAATTCTGCATTTAATGATTTAGGGAAACTATTTTCCCAAACGTTTTCGTTACACCAAGTTTAACAAATAAAAATGTATAAACAATTTCAAAACTTCAGAGAATCATATTTGCATTCATAATATAATATACATATACCCGTGACTTTTTGTATACATACGCATAATAATTTACTATCCACATTCATTATAACTGTTGTCAATGTTTGTGGCTTATAGAGATTATTATAAATCAAATTAAGTTTTTATCTGGTAATAACGTGGATTAAAACATGTAATATTCAATGTTATTTCTCAAATAACAATAAAATATATGTTTTACACTACATTATAACCAGATAATCACTTATTTTGATTTATAATAATTATATATTTAATAATTATAATTTAAGATTGTATACATCCTACATGCATTGATATTCTTATAAGTGGTGGCAAAGTGCATAAACACCTGGTTATTAGACATTTTAGTGCAATAGTCTTTTTTTTAGAAGAAATTTTCTTTGTAATTCCACAGCGTATGTAGTTACGTGTAACAATGTACATATAACCAAACAAAACGAATATTTGTGGAAACTTTATGTCCTCGATTGGTTCTTTTGGAAAGATATTCATCGAAGCGTGCGTATATTTTGTATATTTATCACGTACGATATCATAATAGATACGCCTATAATATAATAATGTAGAGGTGTTTGACGAGCACAGGGTACACTAGCACACTAGACAGGGTGAAAAGAAAACACTATTATATTAATATGAAACTTGTTTTAGAGCTCTTTCGAAACACACACACGCATACACGTACACAACATACGTATATTATAGTCATTACGGGCGTGCACGTGTATTGTTTTTTATTTGTTTGTTTCTGTTTTTCACGGCATATTGCCGAGTGCATTACCATCACACATTGATCTACATATCATATACTCTGGCGCACGTATTGTCGTACACACTCGCAAGTACTTACGTGTACATGTATATGTATGTGTGTATGTGTGTATGTGTGTGTGTGTGTGTGTGTGTGTGAGTAAAAAAATGTACGTGGGTTGGAGAATCGTCAACGACAATATAACTACATAGCTGCGGTAATATAATAACAATATAAATACGCAATGATGGTAAAGGGGTGAGGGAGGAAATCTTTTTTCCTCCTTGTTTAGTCCGAAGGGATTTACACGGGTTTTATAGCTGTTAAACGTCGACGCGTAAAAATTATTGTTTTCTCGGGGGGTGATGGCGGCAAGGAAAATAAGGTGTGCGGCGGCGACTACGGCGCGGGTGTTACGCGACGAGTTCGCCAGAGCGGACGGCGACGAAGGGTCCTGGCGCGACGCGGCGCTGAGGGTGGAAAAGGACGTCCCGGAGGCGTGGACTATGTTCAATTTGAAGCGCATTATTCATACACGTACCACACAAACAGACGGACCTAGATCGTTTTTCTGTCGTAATAATATTTAATAAAAATAATAATTATGTTAATATGAAGTAGAAAATAATAATAATAATAATATTTTCACTAATTCGTTCGAGCGATCACCTGCTGCATATACGATATCAAATCGACAACCGAGTGAGTCCTCGTGTCGTGACAGCTTCCATTTGACAGCGAACACGTCAAGTTTCTCTGTAACTTGCAGGTAAATATATTATTATATTATATACGAGTATGTAATCATGTTGTTGGCAGTCATTTAGTCATTCAGTCATTTAGATTATTTTTCAGTTGGGAACTAAATTCAGAGTCAAAAATTAATTTCTAAGGGTATAAATTTAAAAAACATTTCGAGGTCCCGAAAAAAAACCAAATATACCAGTAGATTTATTTATTTAGTTTTATTAAAAATACAATTAAAGGCAAACAATTTAATATAATATAAGGTTTAATTAAAGTAATATAAAATTGTACACTTTAATTACCCAGTTACTAGTTTCTAGTATGTGTGTTCTTTTTTAAACTCGTATTTCGTTTTCTCATACTTTCCGGCTAGTAGTACGTGTACTTTCAAAGCGCTCACGTCTCCGGTGAGAAATATTTTATTGGTTCGAACCCTTCGCACAGCGGGAATCGTAGCGAAAATTTTATACTATACTATTAAAATATCTACATTAAAGTATACTTCCATATTAATCCGTGGATACCTACACTGTTAAGTGGGCAGGCTATTATTATTATTGTTATACTATTTTTACTGATGGTGTATAGAGTAAAATTTTCCTAAATCACGCCTCCGGTGTGATCCCTAAACGGGATTAAGTGAGAAGTATACTTGCATATCAATTATTATGTACATACGAGTGTGTGTGTGTGTGTGTGTTTGCGTGTACAGTTACCGCATGGAAGGTAGTTATAGTATTATAATGTTGTTACATTGATAAGCAATTAAAATTAATCGCTATTTATCTTAAAAATCAATATAAGAACTATGAAAATAAGGTTTGCATAAAGTTTTTAAAATAAATTTATCTAGGATATTTAACTATTTTACATACAAAAAAATCTAGAAAATTTCAATTTTTAATTGGATGCAATTATAATATTTAATAACAATAATTTTTTGTATTAAGTATTTATTTAATAAATACAGTGGCGGTTTTTTTTCAATTTCTTCTGGGAGGGAGGATCCTTTTACATTATATTATAATATATGAAAACAAAATATGTTTAACTCATTAATAATTTATTACTTCAAGTCTTAAAATGTAATTCTTACATTTACAAAAAAAAAACAAAGCATATTATTTTAGTTACAAGACAAAATATATAAAATATAAAATATATCTCAACCTAAACACGTAACCTGGGGGGATCCAAATCACCTGGACCATCCCCTCGTAAAACCATCACTGAATAAATAAATGTATATACTATATATATTTCACTTTCTAATTTTTATTTTTTATTTTAATGTTAACCAATGAAAACTTAGTCATTGTTTTAAAGCCTTTCTACCTTTCAATTTAATATCTTTATAGGTAGGTATTTTCATTTATTGACTGTCTATGTATAAATATTTTCGTAATTTTTTAAAACTTAACGTATTACAAGTGCTCTCATAAGTATTAGTCTTTTGCACACAAGAATCAAACAATTGGTCAGTGTTAAAAATATTTATAATCCTTATATTTCCAATAATTTCAAAGAATTAACTAATTTAGTACAATAATATTCAAGCAGTATTATTTAAATAATTTCTTATTAGGTAAACTATAACCAGAGTCATACTAAATAACCAATATTATTCAATTTTGATTTATGTATTTATTATTGATTATAAGTAAATTGTACATAGTTCATACATTTGGAATATAGTAAAGAAATTTATAACTATAAATAGGGGAAGCACAAAATTAAAAAAAAAAAATGAATTGTTTTTTTTGTTCTTAAGATACAATGTGATTTTGAATTTCATTATTAAGACCACAAGTATTTAAAATATTGATTAATTTCATAGAAACTTTACTATTTTTAAATGTTTGTGAAACCTTAACGTCATTTGGATATTGGTTATAAAAATATTATGTTTTTTTTTGATTTTAATTTTTAGTTCTAATTTATGCAATGTGCTACCAATGAGCATATTTGATAACAATAAGCTATCATAAATGCTATCATATAAATACTAATTTCGGTAAAGTATGAAATTTTTAATTAGAATGCTGTTTATTATACACATTAGTTAAGATTGAAATCTTTGGATACGATTAGTGTAGGAGATTTTGACAGCTCCTAATATTATAAATAACGCACACCGCTTATAATTTAGTATTTGATTGTAGAGTAACAGTTTTGTTAACAGTTAAAAATGAAAAATGTATACTTAATTTGATTATTTTTTAGTTTCAATCAACATAATGATGAGGCCGAAATCGGCCTAAATTAAATAATTTTAACCTTTTCAAGCAATTTTAAAACTATTTTTTAATTAAAACACTTTTACAACAAAACGATACTTTATATATCGAACGTATTCAAAATATTTTTCTAAAATTACATTTCCAAATCAACAACATCTAAAAAATTTCTGATATTAATTTAAAAAAAAAATGTTTGAGTATAACTTTTATAACTTTTGTTCTCTTTAGCTTAATAAAAAATAATTTTAATATAAAGATGAGCGTAAAACGTTTTATTTAATATTTAAGTTAGATATAAATTTAGAACTGTTATACATCAAGAAAACATTTAAAGAGATATTATCTGGAGAGATTGGAGAGTAAAATTGATAATTTGAATACCAATTGACACATTGATATGGCAAAAATGTAGTATCACATAAGTCGCGGATTAATTACTGAATGGTCGATTTAGTACAGTAGAGAGTTAGTGTAATCATGATATTACATTGTAAATTCAACTTACCACCATGGTATAGCTTAAATCAACATATCATGGTTCTACTTCATATAGGTGAGTTTTGAATGTTAAAAATAACATAATTTTATTAAATTATAAATAATTATACCACCGCCTTTTTTAATTTTAAATATTATACCTAGTTTAGATTGCACCATGATTAAAGGTATGTTTAAAATCCTTCCCTAAAAAAAAAAAATAAAAATAAGTACTTATCTACGTGTATGTATGTAAGTATATGAGTTTATATTAAATTTTCTAATTTATTATAAAATGTCTTGTACAAGTTATCAATATCTGTTTGATGAATTTATGTTCTAATTATCTAATAATGTGATTGAAAAATAAAAATCAAATCCTTAATGGATTTGATTTTCTGATTTACACATATATAAATAATTTGCTAACAGTGACTGTATACTCATTTCATTATTTAACAGTGTATCTTAGCAAACTTATTTTAAGAGCGAAATATAACTGCAGCTTACAATTATCATGAGTGCTATACTTAATGCGCATAATATTTTAAAACTCTTATTATTAATTTACACGAATGCTAAGTGAGTTAAGTAGTGATGACGAATCCGATAATTTCTGACTGACGATTATTTGGATTGTTACAATGAAACATTTTTTTTTTTTTTGTTATAATTATTAAAACTGTACTATACCATAAAGTACTTGTATTTTTCAATTATTATTTAAAACAATGCGACGTAAAAGGGTGGGTTTTTAAAATAGAGCTGGAACTTAAAAACCACCATGAATGATCTCTGTGTTTTCATTTAACAAAATGTGCGTTAGTGAAGGAATATCCGTCTGTTGACGTATTTTAATTTCAATATTTCAATATAAAAGAAATATCGCATTATCTGAGTGCTTTAGAGCGTGAAAAATGTAAACTGAAAAAAAGAACAAAAAAAAAAATCTCTTCGGAATAAATTAAGACGATATTTCCACGTTCTGTTTTTTAACCAGACACCTTCATTACAATAGTGAGAAAAACATTTTTTCCTTCTCTCATCATCTTGCGGGGATGGGCGAGGTTTCAAAAATGCACCGGCTGTATAATTTACATAAATTGGACTGATGTCCCTCAACGGGAGTTAGAAGTCGGCAGAGATTAATGACGTCATTTTACGAATATCGCGAGGGTAAAAAAAATAAATATTTATTAATATTGATGATCGGTGTAGGCTAACGAAATTTTGAATAATTTAAGTTACCCAAGCAGATGATAATAATAATAATAATAACAATAATAATAATAATAATATTGTCATATCTACCGAAGGTATTAAAATGGCACTTTATACGATAAAAAGCAACACAGAAAATGTATTACTATACGGAGTATATATGTATATATATTTAAAAAAAAGATTTTACTTGTCAAAAAAAATTACCATAATCTTTATGAATAAGAAATGCATGAAATCATTCTTAACAACTATTTAATCATACATATTAAGCATATATTTTAATTAATGCTCAATTACATGTATATATAATATTAGTAAACTATTTACTAATTAATAATAATAAGCAAAATGTAAGAAAAAAAAGTACATATAGTAATAGTTTTTACTGAAAGCTTTGGAATATGTATAAAAAAAACAAATAAGAAATACATATAGTGGCTGTTAATTTTCCTTTTTTTACTATACTGTTGAATGATTACTTTATATAACAAGTATAGTAAACGTATTTTATATTGTATAAATAATATTTTATAATTTTTACCAGGGGCGGATAGGTATAATTTGACCGGCCCGGGAAAAATAGAATACAGCAGCCTGAATGATTATACCCAAGTTCCAACTAAACAATTGCCTCAACTTTGAGAGAACCAACTCGACAATCACCACCTTTTTTTTCAACGTTCTTAAATAATATTTAAAATTATAATATATATTATACTACCCAATTTTACACATGTTTTGCTTTCTTCTAACAACTCTATGATTATAATCTCTTTTATTTTCTGCACCTCCTTTTCTTTTTAATTCGTTTTAAAGCAATATTATACTATTTACATAGTTCACGTATAATTATTGTGGAAAAACATGATATATCAGTAATCAACCTTGCCGTGGGGTTTTATTAGTGACTATATATGATAATTTAAATCTAAACAATAAGTTATCATTATAGCACGGAATTATATGCATTAACAACCAATCAAATATGCACTAAAAGATCTTTAACATGCACTTGTATATGCATCAATATGTTAAAATATGTATTAAAGAAAAAAAAATTTGCACTCGAAATTTTGAATAA